TATAGAAAGGAAGAGACCAAGGATAGTTTTGTTTAAATATGGACATAGTAAAGTGATCATCACTCTTGTGGTTTCTAAATGAGCAAATTGTCCAACTGTATGTCTGTGAAATCACAACCATGAGTAGACTGATTTTCACTCTGGATTTATTGTACTAGATTGCCCCAGCTGATGGAAGTAGTGCGATCCAACTATGAAGCAATGATTGATCGTGCTCATGGAGGCCCTAACTTTATGATGCATTCTGGGATCTCTCAAGCCTCAGAGTACGATGATCCTCCAGGCCTGAGGGAGAAGGCAGAGTATCTTCTGAGGGAATGGGTGAATCTCTACCATTCAGCAGCAGCTGGCCGTGACAGTACCAAAGCTTTCTCTGCGTTTGTTGGACAGGTAGAGCTTTTGGAAAGAAAGGTGCTTTTTATTCAACATAAGTAGGATGTGATACCTCCAATATTAAAACTCAGTATTATGTACCTGTGATCAGACAGTTACCTCCATACTCATGTAAACCGAAAATATCATCATCATTTACCCCGTTAAATTGATACAGCTCATTTGTTTCATCATCGATCACTAAGCACTGAAGTCAACATTCCTACTTGTCCCCTTTAATTCTATTTATCTAATTTCAATTGTCATAGCTACAAAGTACAATGGGTCAAATAATCATGAAATTGCCAGGTGTGTATATAGTAATATTACTAGCTTTCGAATCATCAGTGATGAGATTATGAGCTAATAAGTAAAGTCCTCATAACAACCCATGTTTTAAAAATAAAATAAGAAAATACAACAAAACAGAACTTAAATATTTAAATGGTAGCACTTTTTATTGTATTTTCTAAAGTAAGTAGCTTATCTAACTAAAACTGATTAACATGTTCTTTTTGGGAAATAATTTTCAGTATTCACTCAATTTGATCTAAACTGAACTTTGAGATGAAGTGTTAGGAAAGAAGTCTGTAGCTAAAAACTAGGCTTGGCAGGAATAGTTGTGAATGGGATGAACAGGGAAAAATGTAGAAAGAGAGCCATAGTATCATTTAGCGTTCTGTTTTTTATCTCACTGGCGCTTTCAGCCACTATGGAGGGATTCAGACCCAGTAGTCAGTGTGTCCTAATCACATTACTTGGCCGCAAGAGTGGAACCTTTTTCCTGAACTGGCCTTAGAATTTCCTTTAGTAGAACTCTCGTCATGTTTGTTCAGGGAGATATATCTGCGGACTTGCCATTATACTTCTTCAGACTGAGACCAAAGCTTCGGTGTGCAGCAGAGAAAGATTACAGATTAGATCTGTTATCAAATAAATGACAATTGAATGTGGAAGAGCTGATTTGAATTTTAGGAGATAGAAATTGGATTTACTTTTCAAGATGAGTGTTACTTAGTCATACTAAGTAACTTCCTCTTTCAAGAATTCAGGGAATGAGAAAAAAAACATACCTATTGAAAAGCTGTTACTACTGCATGTTTATAGTTCGATTTCTGATTTGGATGGAAGAATTTTGAATCAATTGGCTTTTGAGATTATCGGTATTTCATGGGTATGGATGTGGCACCTGTCTCAGCTCTTCCTGCTGGCTTATTTATTAGCGCTCATTTCTTCTCCCCATTTGTAAAAGATAATGTATTCTACTTTTCTATTCTCTTTGGCATCTTTTTGAGAATTCTTTCTTATGTTCCATCTTGATTATAGCAGTATGTCCTTATTTTCTCTCCCCTGTTAACTTTTCAGATTTCAATGTACACAAGTCCCTTTGCTGGCCTTCTGTCTTGGCTAGGGTACATGATTGTCAATTCAGCTGTTTCATTGCTTATCAAGAGACAGTTAACGTTTCCAAGATAACAGTCAAGTGTTTCTTCTGGGCTTGGTTTCTTTGTTTAGTAAGCACTGACCTCTTCCCTCTGCTGCCTTAATGCTGTTATACTGTCTTCTTTCCTACTAGCCAAATAACTTTTGCTGCTTCACTTCCAGATCATATGTCATAAAGTTTGTACTTTATCCTTTTTGAAAAAATAAACTTGCCCTTTTACTTTATTTTAACTTAATTTATATTAAAATGGCTTAATGTACATTAAAATAACTGGGTATGTTCTGCAGGTATTTTCATTGGGTTCCTACTTATACAGATTATTCCTTGATTTTCCTGGTGAAGCTAGTTGGAATTTCAAAAACTTTGGTTAAGTCAATTGGGAGAAAATAAAGTATATATAATTTCATCTCCTTGTGGGGGAAACATATCTTGGACAAAATGTCTTATTATGACTTTTGTGAGCTATTAAAAGTTGGTTTAATTTGCATAGTTCATTTTCCAAATTATTTGGCTATGGACTACTGTTCAAAATTGCCATATTATTATCTTTCTCGGTTTCCACCTTCTCTGTTTTTCATTAAACTTAAAACTGGAACGATTGTGTCATGGGACCTTAAAGGCTAAGTCATTTTCATGGCAGCTTTTTTACAAAGTAAAAATTAGAAATGTGACAATAGGAATAAATGAGAGAATATTTTTTTTAAATGAAAATGAAAAGTTTGTGTGTATTATCTCATTGTGTCTTTATATTTTTGACCCTTGGTAGATGCATCAGCAAGGAATCCTGAAGACTGATGACCTCATAACAAGGTTCTTCCGTCTCTGCACTGAAATGTGTGTTGAAATCAGTTACCGTGCCCAGGCAGAGCAGCAGCACAACCCTGCTGCTAACCCCACTATGATCCGAGCCAAGTGCTATCACAACCTGGATGCCTTTGTCCGACTCATTGCCCTGTTAGTGAAGCACTCAGGGGAGGCCACCAACACTGTCACAAAGATTAATCTGCTGAACAAGGTCTGAAATCTTTCCTTGCCTTATTCTTGGTACACTGGAAGCCTATATCGGTGCTTCTAAAACCTAGGGCCCCAACTCTTTTCCAAAACTTTTTGTAATATCCCCTTTTCTGTATTGAAATCGAATTTATAGATAATAAGTAATAATCACCAAATTTTAAGAATATGATCCTTTAACTGAAAGACCCTGAAAAAAATCATAATGTATTTCAAATGCTAACTAAAAGGTATTTATTAGTATGAGATTTTATTTTATATGCAGAATTGCTGAACAAGATGGTCTATACGTGTTCACTGATAACACAGATTGGCAACTCAGATGCCACAAGTGACATTGCAATCTTTGTCTTTATTTTTCTGAAAAGGAACAAAGTACTGTTTTCTTTTGATTTATACAGTGCAATTCTTACGAATTTGCATAATATAAGAGTACAAAAAGAGAGTGTGGTCTTGGGTTATCATTATCAAATAGGTTATCATAATCTTCACTGTTAAGTGAGAAAATCAAGTGGAGCACAGGGCAATTCTTTGTATAGGAAATGCAGGACGTTTCTGCAGCCTTCCCTGGTGCCCATCTGCTAAGTGACAAGAGAACTAGAAACCATTTGCCTCTTGTAAACTTCATGTCAGACTAGAAAACTTAGGTTGTTGGATTGTAATAATGTGATAAAATACGATGTACCATGCTAATTTCTAGAGCTTTTGAAAAATCATTGGGCATCTATGGAGAGTGTACATGTCTGGTAGAAGGGTATTGAAATTCAAAGAAAACACGCAAAACTGTAGGCCAAATCGAATCAGTGTATGGCCCCTTTGGCTGTCAGTGTATAATTTTATATTCAAACTAGAGGCCCAGTGCAAGAAATTCATGCACAGGTAGGGTCCCTAGGCCTGGCCAGCGATCAAGGCTGATTGGGTCCTTCCTTTCTTCTGTGCTGCCCTGTGGTGGTCAGCACATGTCATAGCGAGCCATTGAACTCCCCAGGGGACACTTGGCATGTTAGCCTTTTTATATATAGATAGATGGTATATAATCATAGAGAGTGGTAAGTGAATTATCTTCATTATTTAAAACTCTGATCTTTGTGCTCTACAGGTCCTTGGTATAGTAGTGGGAGTTCTCCTACAGGATCATGATGTCCGGCAAAGTGAATTTCAGCAGCTTCCCTACCATCGCATTTTTATCATGCTGCTCTTGGAACTCAATGCACCTGAACATGTATTGGAAACCATTAATTTCCAGACACTTACAGCTTTCTGGTGAGTAGTGTTCAATAGAGATTTCCTAGTAAAGATTGCTGTTTTAGTATACTAAAATTTGAGAAGTAGAATAAGCTTATGGGTTTTAGGCATGCTTTATTCATAGTACAATTTGTCTACTTCTGTTTGTGTGTTCATTGTAAGTTAGACTGCTTCTGATAAAGATTTTCTTTTTTCAGCAATACATTCCACATCTTGAGGCCTACCAAAGCTCCCGGCTTTGTGTATGCGTGGCTTGAATTGATCTCCCATCGGATATTTATTGCAAGAATGCTGGCACATACGCCACAGCAGAAGGTGTGGCTGCAGTTTATCTCCTACAGACGAAGACTGTAACTACCTGGGGCTTATTAGCACTATTAGTCATTTATTAGTAGCCAGTTACACTTCTTCCAGGTTTAGTTGGGAATTCTTCTATTTAATGTGGAGTCAGGTCATGAGGATTACTTGACTGCCCCTGCCTGAATCACATTCCTCGGTGACAACATGGGATTGTGGCTCCCAGTCTGTCGTGAGCTACCTATGTCAATTTCTTACGGGCTTCTTTTTAAAAAATATATTTTT